GAAATCGAAATATTTTCAATCTATTTCAAGCCCTGCTTTTTGTTGTACAACTTCTTATTACTACTATTTATATATATTTTGCTTAAGTGCGCATTCAAGCTAATTTATATTAAATATTAATTATTGAAATAATCAAAATCAGAATTAACTGTTATTTGCTTCGCTGTTTTTATAACTTTTGTATCGTTGAAATATTGTTTTTAGTCCTTACTGATGCCTTTTTTTTCATTGTTATCAAGAACCATGGGAGGAACTGTTGTTGGCATTGCTTCTCCCGCGGTCACCACCTCCAGTCCCCTCCTAATTAATGCCTGTTTTTACTGAAAATTAAATCTACAAGAATGTTATTGCTCCATAATGGATCAAACTCTGGAAAAGTCTGAAATTGTTTAAACTACATTTGGATACATCCACTTGATTTTAGTTTTCCGGAGAATATAGAAGGCAAACAAAAAAGAAAATTTCAGCATAAATATTTAACACAATATTCTTGGCTAGCATATAGTAATATACAATATAAAGGCGCCTACTGTAAATTTTGCGTATTGTTCGCTTTCTCTGGTGGTAGAATAGGTAGACAGATAAATGAGTGCTCACAAATTTAACATAAATAACTTATGTATTGACAGGGTTGTTACGTTTAAAACATTTTGTTTTAAATAGAAGTTTAAAACATGTTTAAAACACATGATAAAAAACCTCATACTTTAAAACAAAACAAACAGAACAATGTTTAAAACAAAGGTTTTTTATTAACATGTTTTAAACAATAAAAATGTATTTTTTTTAGTAAATTTAATTAATTTAAATGTATTTTAAAAATACAACAAAAAATTCCCTTTTTAGGTTTTATAATTGTATATAATGACATAATATATATTATATAATAATTTTTAATATAATATTACTTGTTGATAATAATGAGAATGTTCAATGTTGAGATGCTTAAAAATAAGAAATAAAAAATAAAAATTAATAATTCTTCCTTTTATAGTATTATATAATAGCATATGCCATAATCATAAATGATATAATATTATTTGTTGAGATGCTTAAAAACGGTTACTAATTTTGAGCATTTTTCGACGCCCAAACGATTTCTGGATTTTGAATGTATAAAACCAAATGATGAAAATAATCTTTCTATTCCTGCTGAACTACATACAGCTGTAAATAACTGCATTGTCAATGTGTTAAGATCATTTGATATTAATTTCCTTTTAAATAAAGCGCTCCACCATGCCATAGGACTAATATTATTAACAGTGTCAGAGTTAAATAAGTATGGTTTAAATGGAGCACATTGTGCTTGATAATTTATTATTTCAGCTAATACACTTGGATGGTAACTGTAGATGTACTGCAATGCTGAATCAGATTCTTCTTCAGATAGACGAGTACCGTTATATTTAGGATCTAACATATTGGCTAAAAAATGTGGTGGTGTCACAGCCATATCATATCTATCTTTCAGTTTTTCAATCTCACTTGAGTCACAATTTTTTTCAAAAAACTCTAATAAATCTTTCCAGACATCAATAGCCTCACTCAATGTGCAAGAATCTTTTTGTATTTTATCTAATGAGATTGATATCATTTTTAGTTTTTTAAAGTAATCTTCAGCATTTCTTTTCATTTCCATATCTTCTATTTTTCTTATTATACTGGCATCAATAGCTGCACGGTTGTTTGAACAAACTGAACTCAAAATATGCCAATTATCTAGATAGGACTGTAGGCAATCAGAAAAAGTGTTCCAGCGCACATCAGATGGTAAGATTAATGTTTTACCACCTGCCTGTTTATATTTGGCTCCTATTTTATGACTATTTCTAAAATACTTTATGACTTGTTTGATATTTGATTTTATACTATTAACTTCTAAATCGTGTGCCAATAAATTTAAAATATGTGCGCTGCATCCATTTGTTATAATATCACGTACATTATTATTAACTGCACCAATTTCATCAATTTGAGCAAGTTCTTCTCGCATTTTGGCCATATTAGCAGCATTATCAGTGACAAAGCTTCGAACTATACAATTGTATTTTTGGCAATTGTTTATGGCCTCTACAGCTAAGTTTAATAAATATTCTGAATTATGAGAGTTATCTTGAGTGTCGATTGTTTCAACCAAAAAAACTGATTTTTCAATAATGTCATAAACAGAAATACATACTACAGGTTCATTATGAATATTGCTCCATCCATCCATTGACATGCATACACTTTTACCCCTTAATTGAGATTTTGTTTCAGAAATAGTTACATTAAATACCTCATCGAGCAAAGTATTTGCAATATTATGCCTATTTGGTAATTTGTAACCAGGTCTTAGTTGATTTATTAATTTTACAAATTCTGGATGTTCCACATGTCTAAATGGTGTGTTAGTACTATAAATAAATTTTGCCGTCTGTAAATCAAACCTTTTTTTATCTATCTGAGTTGTCCGAATAACAAAATCTCCTATGGCATTTTTAGATGTTTGTTGTGTAACTTTTTTTGTGATAGAAGAGGACAAACTAGAAATAGTAGATGTTGAGGCAGTTAGTGTGTTAGTTTCAATTTCACATTCTCCATTTGATATATCGATCATATTGTTGTGGCTAAGATTGTCATTGTTTGATAAATCTATAAAGTAAACAAAATATTAAATAATTAAAAAATATTTTTAATAATATACAACTATGAGTTGATTGTTGGGGCTAAAGCTAAATGTGTGGTTGATAATTTATTCATTCATATTTCATAGTATGGGATAATTATTAGTTATTAATACTTTTTACCTAGTTATTATAAAACATTGGCAGAATAGTTTTATAGTACAAACTACAAATTTTGTGTACAAAATACAAACTACAATGGTCAATGAAATATCAAAAATGTTATTCAAAAGTCAATACCATCTACACAGATACATATATATTTAAATATTTAGATAAACTATTTACTATTTAGAAGTTTAGACACTTTAACAGAAATGTAGAAATGTATGAATTATTGATTACCGTTGGAGCCATTGGATAAGCTTTGGCCATCTTCAGTATCGCCTGTATCACAAGTGTTATGGTCTTCCACAACTTCAACATCAATTTGGCATTTAACCAAATGCTCTTTCATCCTCTTAACGAGAGAAGACATTTCTTTAGAACATTTTTTACATCTAATATAAAAAATTTGATCAGAATAATAAAAATAAAAATAAAACTAATTATTGGATAGGTACAAAAATAAAATGACATATATTTACCAATTTTTTTTATATTTTAGACTTAGTAGTAGGTATTATTAGATATTGCTTATTACTTAAATACCTATACTAGGTATATTATAGTAGATTAGTTATTAGTATCTACAGGTATTACTGTATTAAGTTAAAGACGTTAAAGTATGCCTACATATTACCATTGATTATAAATACTAATATTTATGATCATTTATATAATATACAATATTTATACCTAATTTCTAGTAACAAAATACTTTTAGTGTTTAGTCTTTACCTATACTATAGTCTAAAGTAGGTATAATAGTATAATAATTAATAATATGATTTTACTTACCTCGCTCTGGTAGTTTTAAATGCACCATGTGGAGTCAATTTAACGAACGAACTCCAAATATTATCCTGTGGTCTACCACTGAATGGAGCCATTTATGATTTATACTAATAGTAAAATACTAAAATGTAAAAACTAAAAACGTGAGGCACGAATTATATTTTATAATAAATAAATATATATATATAAATGCCGGTAGCATGGAATGGAACGTTGACGAGTACTGTGTAGACTAGAACTAGAGAGAATAGTTAGGTTAGCTAATATCCGAAAACAAATGTTAAAATAATATTCTAAAATCTCAAAACTGAATATAATAAATATTAAATATCGTATTTTAAGTTTTTAACTTATTAGTGTACAAGAGTGTACAATTTCTCTCGTAATTCGTACCAATCGTACGTCGTCAGTTGATCTAAAATTTCCGTACCCATACGATATAATCAAATACAAACTGGCAACCCTGTATTTAATTTGAAAACAATGATAATTGATAATGACATACCGCCAGTAGCTATTATCATTTATCCATAATCATTAATCAGTAATCAGTAATCAAAAAAATGCGATTTTTAATTTTAAAATTAGGTACGTTTAAAACATAATATAAAACGTGTTTAAAATGTTTTAAACTGAAATAATCACGTTGTAATAAAAACTTGTTTTAAACATAAAAACCACGTTTAAAACATAAAAATCGTTTTAAACATAATTTTTTTTTTAAACATGTTTTTTAACAACCCTATGTATTGTACCTTTTTTGTAAAAATACAATATATTAACCAAAATTTAAACATAATTTCAGAATTTGTGTAAATTAGTAACTGCATTTATGTTAAAGTTTAAAGATGCTATAAGAATGACTTTTACAAACATTCAAAAACAAAATATCATCTTCTTTTTGTTCAAAGATCAAACGACTTTTTATTACATTTGGAAAGTGGGTATGAAAAAACGATTGATATACTCTTTGATCAACGTACACAACGAACAATTGAAAGCAACAAAAAAAGGCTATTACTATACTTGTTAAGACAATATTATTCTGTACTAGAAATAATTTACCGTTGCGTGGTCATCGAGAAACGGATTCTTTATCATTAGATAGTGTGAGAAGTTGTTGATAGGCGGTGAACACTTACTTCGTGTACTTCTGGCTTTTCGAATTGACAGTGGTGATACAGAACTTAGAGGACACTTTGAAACTTCCGATAAAAACTGTACAATGATCATCCCCAAAATCCAGAATGTTATAATTTATGTAATTTTTGATGGTATGGTAGAAAAAATAGTTGACAGAATAAAACAATTTTCATTTTTTTTCAATACTGTCAAACTACTGACATTAGTACTATTGAGCAAATAACTGTTTATATACGGCACATAGATACGTTATCTTGGATAATTCTAGAAGATTTGGTAGGATTTCTGAAAATGACTTTAACTACTGGTTTAGCAATAAAAGATGCTATATTACTGAAACTTAAAGAAGTTGGTCTTAGTTCAGATAACCTTAAGGGACAAGGGTATGGTGGGGGAGCAAACATGTCTGGTAAACATATTGGTGCCCAAAGTCTAATTTTAAATGAGCAACCTCTAGCATTCTATACTTATTGTTTTAGCCACTCGTTCAACCTTTGTTTATCGAAGGCCTGTAATGTTTTTTCAATCAAAAATATGATCGGAATTCTGTCAACTATTGCTGCTTCTTTTCTGCTTCATCTAAGAAAGACGAGAGCTGATGAATTGAAATCTGTTATTTTAGCTGATAACGACAGTAAAAAAAAAAAGAAAAATTGAAAACACTGCGAGCTACGTTTTGTTGAGCGTCATGATGCACTGATTACATTTAGATATCTGTATATTTTTGTAATGAAAGCTCTTGAATATATTTCACATGATCTTAATCTTGAAACCTCATGTTAAGCAGCATTATATTTAAATTCAGTGACAAAAGTGATTTTCTTGTTGCACTCGAAGTTTCAGTAACTTGTTTTGCCTACACTTTGCGACTCAGTATTTTTCTACAAAACAAACAACAAGATCATTTTATCCGACGTTATGGTTATTCATGGTACATTAAAAAAACTTCGAAAAGTTGCAAATGAACATTTCAAACAAATGTTTAAGGATGTTTCAGATGTAGCAAATTTAGTAAAATATGTTGAAGTATGCATGCCTCGGATATGTGGCAGGCAAATACACAGAGTAAATATAAACTCAAAAGATTCAGAGACATACTTCAAAATATCGATTTTTCTTCCTTTTATTGATTTCATTATTCAAGACTTGGATATACGATTTGGCGGATTTAATCAACTGCTAAGTTATATAATGCCTTTACAGTGACTCATTCCATCGAATTTAAGTATGTACGACGGTGAAACTGTTTTGAAGGTAGCTTCTATCTATGCTCAAGATCTTCCAAATAATGATATTTCTTTTCTTAAAGCAGAGTTGCACGTTTGGAGATGTCTATGGAGAAATAAGGAACTCAAACCAGATGCATCTATTAATACGTTACCCCCATTGCACAGCTGTCATACCAAACATTCAGATACTTTTGCAATGGTTTGTCACACTGCCAGTTACCTCAGACTCTCCTGGACGTACGTTTTCAACGTTGAAACGATTAAAAACAAATCTACGGTCAACCATGTCGGAAGAACGACTCAATGGATTGGCTACTGTCATTTGTCAATATAAAAAAAAGAACAACTTAACGAAATCGAAATAATAAAATCATTTTCCAAAAAGGCACCCAGAAGTATTTTGAAATTATAAAAAAAATTAAAATTAATATTTTATGTAATTTATACTTTATAGTATCACATTTGTATTATAAAGCAGTTCCTACTACATACTGGTATCAATAATATATATATGTGTTATAAAAAATATATAATAATAATATATTACAATTACCTACGGTAAGACTTCATATTGGAACTAGTTTGTTAATTTATCGAATTCTGATTAGCCCCCCCCTCCGCCCTTTCATACTACGGGTATGGTAAACTGTTGGTACACGTACACGATTTAGCATGAAATGCAATCTTAGTTGGTGGTGATTATTAGATTTATTTAATCTCGGAGTTAAATAGTTAATAATTTGTATTGTTTTTGAACGATAACCAAAACCAAAACCGTTTTTTTGCTTAATGGTTAACCGGTTTTTTAAATTAAACGATAAATGATACTTTTTCTTATTAGCTTTTAGTTTTACTGTTACAGCTCAACATTTAGTGATACTTATATTATTATTTCAGATATATCCGAACATAAAACGAGAATCGATATTCCGTGAATATCACCGTTAGACTATACAATTCTCTGTAGATATAGTAAATATAAATTGAATATTCCGCTTGTATTTTGTTATATATATACTATTAGGTATGTATTATATTTTATATATATACCTAGTATTTAGTATATTATTATATATACATTATATATATTTGTTCGTGTTTTGTGAACACCGCCTGTTATGCACTTATGCAGGTATTAGCCATTAGATTAAGATTTTGAATTTCACTACCTAATTAAAATACCGATTAGTTTGATTAAATTTGTCAATACTGGTTACTTATTAATTCTTAGTTATTAGTGTTGTTCTTATCACTAAATAATATTTATAATGTCTGACGTCGACCAGTCATAATAACTTGTTATTGGAAGAACTATACGTACAAATCATAGAGTAAATTACTCTATGGTACAAATTAATAATTATTAACAAATTATACAAATAGATCGTATAATATAGTCATAATATATTAAGAGGACGCCACACCTGCATGTGTTGTCGCAGTCTTACAAACGAGTAACATACCAAATTTACGCTCAGCAGTCTTATGCCGTTAGCTTAAAAATTAGAGTGAATCGACCTATTATGTAACTTTATGTTAAGAACTTTATCTATGTTTTGTTGGAAGTTTTTTTACAATAATTCAGTTTTTAAGTGAGTTATGAGCATTTTTAATTTACATTTATTATACAAGCATACCTCTCTTAAAAACTGAATTGTCGTAAAAAAACTTCCAACAAAACACAGATAAAGTTCTTATCATCGAGTTTCATAATACATCGATTTACTCAAATTTTTAAGCTAACGGCATGAGCGTAAATTTGGTATGTTAAGTGTTTGTAAGACGGAGACAACACATGCGGGTGTGGCGTCCTCTTAATTCGTTTGAATGTATTATGATTTGTGATTCTGTATTTTCGTGATGTAAATTTGAACTCCGTCAGTGTGTATTGTCTATTCGGGTTAAGCTGTTATTCGAATGTTCTAATCGTTATTGATTATTATTTATTAAATAATAAATTTAAGGCTATTTAAATTTACAGCTAATAGGTTTTTTCTTGATATTTTAAATTATTTTTATCTAGGAAAAAAAGTTGTGTATAGTCGTTAGTCAAGTATGAACCCAAATGAAAAGGTGTTGTATTAAAAATACTTAATTTTTCTTTTAAACCTGTACATGAGCGGTTAACCAAAGACTAAAACCATATAGTAATAGAAAACCGGTTTTAAAAACCAAAACCGAAACCGCCAAATTGTTTTGGGTTTCCGTCCCCGGTTCAAAATGAGTAGGTATAATATTATTAGGTCGCGGTTTTCACCATACCCACAAGCGCACGATTTTGTGACTTCGCTTATAGACATGCATTGGGTTTTCACTTTTCTGTTGAATACACCTTATTTACACAAACGTTAAATAATAAATACGGTGTTAAAAAACAAATAGTGAATAATATAATCCATATGTATGTCCATAGGAGAGGGAAAGCAAGTCGCTTATAAAAGTCATCAAGAAATATTATTTTAGTTTATTTATTGTTCAACGTTCACATTATTTCCATTACTTTGTTATATTAAGCCAAAATGATTTTTTTTAAACACAATTTTCTAACGATTGCAATTCTAGTAATTGCAATTTCGGTTATGCCTGCAGCTATGACAAATATCTTGATTGACGCTCAAAGTACGGATTTTTTTTTTTTGTTACAAAATTATTATAATTGTATTATATTTTATTGTAATTATGTATAATATCAGCAGTGAATTGTACAATTGTTAGAACTAATTTATAAACTGGAACCGATTATAACTATATAACTAATGTATGCCATTTATTAGATTTTGAATACCTCAATATAATATATATATATATAATTATGATCTAGGTATTAACAATTTTATACCTCAATTTTTAAAAAAACAGACATTTCTTTGATTTTAGAAAAAACATTAAATGTTGTATACACCACAATTGTTTAATCTAATTTCAGTATACTCTGCATAAAATTTAAAACACCAATAAAAGGTTAAGATAATGGTCAAAATTCTAAATTAATTTTAATTATAGGTCATTACAATTGTTACAACTTATACAATTTATTTGAAATATTCCAGAAATTTTATTTTGATTTAATTAATCAACAATGCACTAATAATATCAACGATAACTTTATTCATTTTTTACATGGTCTAGAAGATGATTTATTTAGTTGTTAAAAAATAGAATAACATTTACAAAATAAACGAGGAGATGGTTGAATTTTATTGTTGATTATTACATCGTAATTCGTTATAAATATACATACAAAATGTGTTTTTTTTTTTTTAGATCAATGTGTTCGTACGTAATCTTTTTAGTTAATAATAAATAAAAATTTGATTGTGCTATTCCGCATAGTTAAAAAATAATTAATATATATTACATTATAAAATTGTAAATTATAGTTTAATACTGGGTTGTATATATATATAAACAATCACTATTGATATTTAATAAGTCAATTGCAATTTTTTTTTGTTCTTCAAATTACATTTAGTGACCCATGTGGTTAGTTCATTAGAGATTAGTGAACCATTAAATTAAACAATTGTTTATGTTACTTAACACGTGAAATGTTTATATACAACTACAAAGGATAATTTTAAAATTTTATAGAACTTCTAACTGTATATGGTGGATATCATGGTGAGTTAAATTTACAAAAATGTATTTTATTTATATTACATCCCCCTTTTTTTTGAAGAATATTATATATATAAATATATCATTTACATTGTTCATTGGTTTTAAGATCTTAAAGATAAATTATTATTTAATCAAGCTATGTAATTTTACAAAATATTTGGAAGTAAATTTATTCTTAGAAATATAATTTTTTTTTCGAGGTCTAAACCTGTTCTAAAACCTTTTTTGGGCTGTAAATTGCATGCTGTTTTTCATTCCTCGCTTTTCATAAAATTAACATATGACATTCGTAATTAGTGATATTATTTAATTAGTATTTTGAATTTGTGTTTCTATATCACGAAAGATCATTACTCACATGAAATAATAATTTTATGTTTCTCAGTAGATAATATATATATTTTTTAATTTTTAATATCCTATTATAACCATAATAATATTTTAGTGGTCTTAATTCTCAGATACACATCCAAAATATAATAATATAATAATATTGTAGTTATAGATTCCAAGCGGACCAATGAATGTATTGATTTTACAATTATAGTGTCAGAAATAACAATAAAAAGAATAATAAAAACTGCAATTTTCAGGCAAAACCAGTTTTTGAAAAAAAATTGTACTCTGTTTTTATTTTTTAAGGCTACTTATAATATGCCATTTGTAGAAATTAAAAATAAAGATGAGCTTAAGTCCTCAATAATTTTGTATGAGCGTCTGAAATTTGAATTTTGACAAAATGGATCAAAATCATCGACATTTTCTAATTAGTAGGTTCTCCACAATAGGTACTACCCATTAATACCATAAGTTATGAATTCTAAAGATTGCTCACTAGGTTTTTTTTCAGCGGCAAGGAACTTACAGCGATCTTGGTGTTACAAGACAGAAATGACTAGGCCAGAAATCTGGCCTTTCACAACATTATCGCTAGTAAAACCTCCCAGTGATCAATCTATAGTACTTACTATTTATTATCAATGGTAGCAGGATTGAAGTAATTGCCTCTTAAAAATAAATTATGCTACTAAAGATTACAAGAACATAAATTTGTTTGTAATTTTGTTTCATTTTATAACGTAAAGCCTGATTCCTAACCTAACATGGTACCTAGTACATTGAATAACGTGTGTATAGATTAGGTACTAAACTTATAAATATAATATTACAATTTCAGATAAAGAGACGGATTACATAACAATTGATTATACTGATAGTATGTATCTGAAGCTAAATAATTAATATAATTATGTACATAGTACATATTGGCTGTATACATTTATCTAGGCAATGCGTTTACCACCAAATTAAATATCATAAGCTATACAATATATTCTAATGAAAGAGCAATCACAA